CGATTAAGATTATGTAGTGTTGATATTCTTTGCATCTGTGAACTGCGATATTTGAATAACTTTGATTAATTTTTTGTCTGTTTTTTTTTTCTTTTTTTCTTTTTCCTCGCATTCTCATATGGGTTTAAAACCGACGGACATAACCATGACCGAACTAACCATTTTTGAACGGTTTTCAATCGGTTAACCGTCTGAACAGTTTGATTATGGTTGTTAATTTCTATAAATCGAAATGGTTGGTTCGGTTGGCCAACGAGCTTAATTACTAAATTGTCCAATCTCTGAACACCCTAAGCAAACTCAATTATTAGGAGAGTAATATGCAAATACAATTAAATGTTAGAAGAAATTTTAGATTTTCATATTATAAATGTTCTAACTACATTTGAGGATTCCAATAAAACGATTCAAAAAAAAAAAGAAGATGATGAAAAAAGAAAAACTTCATTTGAGAATTTGGTGAAACAATGCAATCGAACCTGTATTAGTTTTGGTCAAAGGCTTTACAGGCCGAACTCAGCTAATTTGACGGGCTTTTTAGCTCCACAAAGTCCCGATTGACAAAAATAATACTGTCTCCTTCTTCTTCCATTTTTCCACTTTTTTTGACGGGTCTTTTTCCCGCTTTTATTTAATTGATTATAATTGACAAATACATTTGCGCTAATGCATTGGCCACAATAGGACCTCAGAAGATTGTCGGTAGGACTTATTCATTACACAAAAATGTATCCCCTTAATCACAGAACAAATAAATAAAAAAATAAAATGTCATTAAAATCTAAGAGAAAAAAACAAATAGAAAGAGGGTCCACAATTTGGTGGTGTATATAGGAGAGTAAAGCCAAATAATTGGGAAAAGATAATGGAATCGGTAGTTAAGTATTATCATTGGGTGGGTAAGAAGAGGGAGATTTGGACAAAGAGAAATTGCAAAACCCCTTAAACACTTCTGGTTTTTTCTTATGAATTGTGCGACACCCACTCTAATTCAATTATTTCGTACTAATTTATATGACATAGAGTTATTATTTATTTTTTGCTAATATAAGTAATTATTTATTATTAATTAATGTAAATATTTTAAATAACTATTAATAAAAAGATTACCACTCACATATCACGTAAATTAATACAAAAAATTAAATTAGAATTGATAATTCTAACATTATTCTTATCTTATTATTCTTTTCCTTTTTTTATGGGAATTTTTCTTCTTTCCCTCACATAAAACACAAATCCAACGAGTCATTGAATTCGCCCTCCACCGACAGGAAGGGTGTCATTAACGGGTCCACAGTACAGCCTTTGCTGTTCACCTTACCAGTCTCCGTTCTTTATGATTTTTTGTTTGGTTGGATTTTTTATCACGTTCACAGCCTTGGCGAATGTTTTTTCTCTTTTCCGAAAATACCCCTCAATTATTAATTATTATATATAAATATACACATGCACAACGTATATATAGATTTATTTATATAATATTGTCGCATTGCATGGTCGTGCCTGAAATATTTTCTTACAAATAGAAAATTATATATACGCATGCACATGCACATGCACATACATATATATACATAAATATATAATATTGACGCATTGCATGGTAGTGCGTGAAAGATTTTCCTACAAAAAGAAAACACGGAAATATTTGTAAAAAGCTCTTATTACATTTATTGGTAAAGGTAGTTGACACATATTGACAAATTGGCTTAATCTTTTATGAACTTTTTCAATTCCTAAATCCCATATGCATTGAATGAGCAATAGAAACAGAATAGACGGCAATGCTTATTGGTTGCTACTTCTTCTTCTTCTTCTTTTTTCTTTTCTTTTCTTTTTTTTTTTTTTGGCTGAGTTTATTGCTACAAAGGATTGATCAACTTGACTTTACTTTTATTCTAACAGAAAAAAAAAAGTTGACTTTACTTTTAGTACAAAAATGATTTTTATTGTTAGGGATCACTTTTATTTATTTTCGTGATATAAAATCCAAAAAATATATCTCTAATTTTCATTTTTGTGAGAATTATTTTTGAGTTGATTTACTAATCAATCTCAACCTGCATAAAATTATCATACTATTTGAGAAAAAAAAAATAGCATACCAATACACTTTTTTTATTTTATTTTTGATAATTGGAACTTTGATCAAGGTGTTGATCACATACCAATACACATGTTGATTTTCATCAAGTTGTTGAACACGCTACTACTTTATTTTTTGAAAAATAAAACATAAAAATAGTATATAGTATTAGAGCTGCCTTAATACGTACATGGATAGTGGCGCAGTACTATTTGTTGGTCTAATTAAATAAATCATATTATGAGTTATCTAATATTTTAGCATGTATTATTATATGAATCTAATTGTGCATGTCGTTGTGGATACAAAATCACAGGAATCACATAACAACCTTACTAATCAACTCTATTTATGTTGTTGTTATTATTATTATTATTATTTTGCTAATAATTACTACCACTCCACTTTTTAATTTCTCTAGATTGAAACATCACTATAATTACTAGAAATATTGCTATGCTTTATACCCTCTAATTTACTTTGTTTCATATTCATTTTTTAACCATCAACACATAATGTAAGGGTGACAGTTTGGATCATGACACGATAATACGATTCGAAAACCACAAGGAGTTAATTAATTTAGATTTATTATAAATGAGTTTGGGTTATAAACGGGTTGATATGATTAACATAATCAATAAATATGTTGCATTAGTGTTGACCTTCTGACATGAAGTAACCCAAATTGACAAGATTAACTATATTTGTTACTTATAAATTAATTATATATGATATAATGTAAAAGTTTATATTAATATATAAGATGAATTTCAAAACTTTGAGGTTAATTTTTCTTGTTTTCTTAAAAAAAAAAGATAAATACACCAATAAAATTGTTAAATGTACCATAATAGTGTTAAAATTTTAATTCTACTAATTATTTATTCAATATATTATTTTAAATGGGTGACGCATATTGACACGATTAACATGAGAATTATTTACAGAAATGCCTATTTATAACATCTTGAATCTAAAAATACTTACTTATTATTTTATTTACAAAAATACTTATGTCATACATATAAAGACGTTTATATCCTTACATACTAAAAAAAGAAAAAACTAATGAATCAACATAATGAATATTTAGATTTAAATACAAAAAGTCAAAGAATTAAATTTAATGAAACCTAATTATTTCAAGAGAAGGAAACTTTCTTTAAACAAATAATAAAAAAAAAAGCACCTATCCAATTTTTTTTAAATAAAAACCAAATAAGTCTGCACAAAGTAGCAGACAAAATCCTAAAACGGCAACCTAATTATATCAAAAAATGAAAAAATTGCGATAAACACATAAACCAAGTTATATACAAGAAAAGAAAATAACATTAAAAAATCTCTCACATTTTTATTATTTTAATGATGAATATCATTATGAAAAAGAATGAATACAAAGTTTTGTAAGCAATCTGAAAGGTATTAAATATGATAAATAATAAAAAGTTTTCATTATCAAAAAGAATACAAGTTCTACGATAATAACAAAACTAAAGAATAGAAGTTTTATGATAAGGACAAAAATAATAGAAAAATGCATTAAATATGATAAATAATAGAAGTTGTCATTATTATAAAGAATAAAAGTTTTATGATAATGATAAAAATAATATTAATAAGATATTAAATATGTGCACCAAAATGTGAATATAAGCATGATCGTAAAGAATTAATGTTTTATGATAATGACCGAGATAATAAAAAAAACATATTAGATAAGCGTATGACACAGCTAATAAAAAAAGGTTTTAAAAATGTACAACAAAATGTGAAAACGCATCGCCATGAATAATAGGTCAAAAGGTTCATAACAGCTATACAGAAGAAAATATAAAAGCTGTTTGTGAGCATGAAGAAATTTAAAAATTCACGTCTAAAATGAAAAAAAAAAGAGAGGAAAAATCTATAATTTAAAAATGATATCAGTTTAAAATCAAAAAGTTATTATAGAATAATAATTGGGTTAAAATGGTAAAAACCCAAAATTATGAAAATATCACCATATAAAGAACATGCTTAAAATAATAAATAGGGGTATCTCCGGCATTACATGTGCTTTATTATTATTCAGAAATAGGCATTTATATAATATTAAAAATAAGTAGGTATTTTTAGATTGAAAGCTTTGAAAGTAGGCATTTTGTGTAATTATTTCTTAAGACGATTAATAAATGAATCGTATTTAAGTTGATATTTTTGATAAATTTAATAAATAAGTCGTGTTTAATTTGATATTCTCTGATATAATTAATAAACGGGTTGGACACAAATACGAACCATTATGACGAATTGCCACCTTATTAGACGCACTCATTTATTTAAATAGTTTTTTTATCCTTTCAAATAAAAAAGTAAATTTTTTTGAAAACAGGTTTAGTGATAATATTTTTGGTTTTTTAATATATACACAACTATAGTTATCAAGTGTTTTTTTTTTGTTCTTTTATTTTAAATCAAAAAAATTACTAAACATGTTTTCATTTAAAAATTAAGAAAAATAACAAAATAAAAGAAAACGATTTTGTTTTATTTTAAACTAAGGGATTGTTTGGTTGGGAGATTCATAATTCACTACAGTATTTTCTCTCAAAAAAATACACGTAAATAAAAAATGATTCTAATTTATGAACTAAATGTCTCCTAAAAAATTTAAAGGCAAACCGTTAGATAAGGGCTTAAATATCGTTCATCATAAGTGGTGAAGGGTATAATGGTACATACACTCCAGAGATTAGCAGCACAACAGCTCACATTAACGGTATCTCTCTCTCTCAATTAACAAAAAAAAAAAAGACACGGTCTCTCTTTCTCTCTCTCTCTCTCTCTCTCTCTAAAACAGTGATTACATAACAGCAGCAGAGACTTTTATAAGACTTGTTTACTTGCTTGCGAACGGAGGCTCTCACTTTCACTTTCACTTTCACTTCCCACTTGCCGTGTGTAAAGACTACGGCCCACTCACGAGCCACTCTCTCTCTCCTCTATATCTCTCTATATCTCTCTCCCTCCTCTATCTCTCTCTCCCTCTTCCTGTATTTCTTTTCTCGTGTGCAGATCTCACATCCCAAACTCAAAACACATCGAAGCAATTAAGGAACTAAATCTGCGTAAAAGCAATGGAGTCCATTGCCAGGCTCACCAGCTTCGCCGTTTCGCTTCTCTTCTTACTCTCTTGCTTATCTTTCACTTCCACAGGTCAGTCAGTAGTCACTGCTCACTTACGCAGATTCTTTTTTCTTTCTGAAAACATCCATTTTCTAGTTTTTCTATTGTTTTCTACATCTGGGTAGTGCTTCATTTCCCTAGATTTGTTATAGATTTGCTGAAAGTTTTGATGAATTGAAGGATTAAATTTGGTGGGATCAAGTGAAATCTCAGATTCTTCGAGTGGTGAAATACTCAATGATGTAGAAGGAAACAAGATAAAAATTAACATTTTTCATATCTCTCTCTCTCAATTAACAAAAAAAAAAAAGACACGGGCTCTCTCTCTCTCTCTCTCTCTCTCTCTCTAAAACAGTGATTACATAACAGCAGCAGAGACTTTTATAAGACTTGTTTACTTGCTTGCGAACGGAGGCTCTCACTTTCACTTTCACTTTCACTTCCCACTTGCCGTGTGTAAAGACTACGGCCCACTCACGAGCCACTCTCTCTCTCCTCTATATCTCTCTATATCTCTCTCCCTCCTCTATCTCTCTCTCCCTCTTCCTGTATTTCTTTTCTCGTGTGCAGATCTCACATCCCAAACTCAAAACACATCGAAGCAATTAAGGAACTAAATCTGCGTAAAAGCAATGGAGTCCATTGCCAGGCTCACCAGCTTCGCCGTTTCGCTTCTCTTCTTACTCTCTTGCTTATCTTTCACTTCCACAGGTCAGTCAGTAGTCACTGCTCACTTACGCAGATTCTTTTTTCTTTCTGAAAACATCCATTTTCTAGTTTTTCTATTGTTTTCTACATCTGGGTAGTGCTTCATTTCCCTAGATTTGTTATAGATTTGCTGAAAGTTTTGATGAATTGAAGGATTAAATTTGGTGGGATCAAGTGAAATCTCAGATTCTTCGAGTGGTGAAATACTCAATGATGTAGAAGGAAACAAGATAAAAATTAACATTTTTCATGATTAACAAATTGCATATATATATGTGTACATATTTTTTGAAACTGTTACATACCCGAATCTCATCCCACCGACAATGATATATAGATCCGGAAAGAAACTGATGAGTCTGATGTTGATTGGAATAGTTAGTATACTATGAAATTTATTGCTTTTAAGTATATAAAAGACTATAGTTTTCAATTTCAAATATTGTTGGAATTTTCACTTCTTTTTTTTTTTGTCATTTTTTTTTCTGCAGAAGCGTATGATGCACTTGATCCAACTGGGAACATCACTATCAAATGGGATGTGATGAGCTGGACTCCTGATGGCTATGTTGTAAGTGTGAATTAGTAAACAGATTTTAATTTTTTATTTTTTGGCAATTAAAAAATGAAATTGGAAGCAGGCAATGGTTAATTTTGATTCAGATTTAGATCATTTTTGTTAGTTGCATGTGTATGTTGGGTCTTTCTGTTTCCCTGTAGTCCTTACTTGAATGTTTAACATGTTGGTGCAAAATTTCGTCCAACACCAGAATAACGTTTTCTTGAACGTGTAATCCGGATCAAATAAACACTTTAACTAAAAACATAGTGTGAGCGGCTAGATGAACGCCATGAACTATGCAAAAACAAATAAGAAATAATTATCGGAGTCCAAGGACGTTCTTTTGGTGTTGGACGAAATTTTGCACCAGCATAACCTAAAGACCACTTTTTAGAATATAGTTCTGTATTAACTTTAATTGGTCGGGAATTTCATGGTTGCTCATATGGTAAAATGATATTTTTGTCTTTGTTTTGTTTTGTTTTTTGTTTTTTATCACCTTGTTTTGCTATTTTCCTGAATTTTCTGATATGGCATATTATGTTTGAATTGGCAGGCTGTTGTTACAATGTATAACTTCCAGCAGTATCGCCACATACAAGCTCCGGGTTGGACATTGGGGTGGACATGGGCGAAGAAGGAAGTAATTTGGAGCATGGTGGGAGCACAAACCACGGAGCAAGGTGATTGTTCGAGATTCAAAGGGAACGTCCCGCATTGCTGTAAGAAGGATCCGACAGTTGTTGATTTGTTGCCGGGAACTGCTTACAACCAACAGATTGCAAATTGCTGCAAAGGGGGAGTCCTCAACTCTTGGGTCCAGGATCCAGCCAACGCCGCAAGCTCGTTCCAGATCAGTGTGGGTGCTGCGGGGACAACTAACAAAACTGTCAAGTTGCCGAAGAATTTCACGCTCAAAGCACCAGGGCCTGGCTACACTTGTGGACCCGCTAAGATCGTAAGAGCGACTAAATTTATCACTGCAGATAAGAGGAGAGTCACCCAAGCTTTGAGTAAGTACTAATCTTTTCAAAAGAATTGAAAGGATTAAAAAAAAAAAAAATTGAGGAGTTTTTTACAGTGATTTACCATTTGCTCTGGACCGACTAAATCACGCTGGTACAAACATGCACATTTTGGGCTTATAATAAATGGGACATCTATTAAGTTTCCTGAACACGTGGAAGTTTCCTGAAAAAGAAACTTCCAAACTAAGGAAAAAAATATCCTCTATTTGATTGGTGTTCATCAAATGGGCCAAGAGGGTTGAGCAAGTACGCAATACAACTTAATGAGTATATAGCATATATTGACAGAATTAAAACGTACTTGAAAAACATTTCGTGGTTTCTTTGACATTTGTATCTCTTTTGGCAGTGACTTGGAATGTTACTTGCACATATTCACAATTCCTGGCTCAAAAGACTCCCACATGTTGTGTTTCTCTCTCTTCCTTCTACAATGACACAATAGTCAACTGTCCGACCTGCACCTGCGGCTGCAAGAGCAATAGTACGGACTCTGAGAGTTGCGTAAAGTAAGTTATCTTGTTTGTTTACTTATTTAGTTATTTGTTGTAGTAATTGTTCATGATTTCCTAATCTTTTCGCTGATATCGAATTGCAGTCCAAACCACCCCCATTTAGCTTCAGCTGTATCAGGTTCTGGAAAATCAAATATTAATACACCTCTGGTCCAGTGTACTAGCCACATGTGTCCAGTTCGAATCCATTGGCATGTTAAGATCAATTACAAGGAGTACTGGCGAGTGAAAGTCTCCATTACAAATTTCAATTACAGAATGAACTACTCCCAGTGGAATCTCGTTGCGCAACACCCCAATTTTGACAATCTTACCCAGATTTTCAGCTTTAACTACAAGTCTTTAACTCCTTATGCAGGCTTAAGTAAGTTCATTTGTGTTTCATGAATAATGAAGCCTCTATTGTAATTTTTATTTTGTTTTAAGTAAGGTATATGTATTTTGTTGGTTTTGCAGATGATACTGCCATGATGTGGGGAGTTAAGTTTTACAATGATTTCCTCAATGAAGCCGGGCCCCTTGGAAATGTGCAGTCCGAGCTTCTATTCAGAAAAGACAAATCAACTTTTACTTTTGAAAAAGGATGGGCTTTCCCTCGAAGAATCTATTTCAACGGTGATAATTGTGTCATGCCACCCCCGGATTCTTACCCATGGTTGCCCAATGCTGGTCCCCCGAAAATGGCATCCCTCCTTCGTCTTGCCATGACCGTCCTGGCATCTTTTGTATTCTTAGTTGCTTATGCATAAGTGAGTTGAGACTGCAATGAGCAACAAAAGCCGTCTTCTCCTCGAGGAAATTCCACAAACTCTGTGTGGTTACGAAAGCTCATGGCAATCCAGAAGTTTGGATCAAATGTATTAGTGCTGTGACCTCAATGCTAAAGAAGTGATTCAGGTGCACTATGGCTTGTCAGTAGAAAACTCAGCTTCTTAATCTGTTATGTGTATGAAGATTCAACTTTTACTTCCATTTTCTTTTTATTTTTTATTTTTTATTTTTATGTTTAGATCTAGTTTTGCACGGTTAATAATTCATAATTTATACAATTTTCCACTTTGTTCACTTGTCGGTAGAATATTCACAATGAAAATGTTCTTTAGAATTGTAACAGATTTCATGAAGTCACACTTGATAAATGATTGTGTTAAGTCTTTTGTGCCCGCAATATCTTTTTCTCATTTTCATCACTGAAGTCGCAATTGATGAATGAATGCTTGTGTTGACCTTTCCATACCGGTAATTTCTTTTCTCTTCATTTTAATTACCGACTTAAATCAGCATGTGTTGCGAAAAAAAAGTGGGGTAACAAAGTAGCTCAAGGTAAGAAATAATTTGCTAGAGAAGCCAACGTGAACACAGCTGAATAAGAATCCAGATATTATTATTCCGAGCTTACATTCTACAGCTTAATCATCTCAAGGACTGTACTTCTATATGAATTGTATGCCTGTTTTCTCACTGACGACTGAAAGTCTCAATTGTTGTAAGTTTTCGGAAAATCATCACCACCATATCCACCACCACACCGTTAGAAGAGTGGAGGCTGCGACTTTTGAAATTCTAAAAGAATATGCATGGGCAGAGTTTGGTAGAAATGGGTATTGGTCAGGCGGGGGTAGCATACATTCATCACCATTGAAGTAAACTCTCCGGGGAAATCCCCATCCTTGCCTGAGTGTGAAGGTAGTCTTTTCTTTCTGCATAAGCATCTCGGATTGGACATTCCCGTATGGTCCAGCTTCCATTAAGTAGTCATTGAAGAACTTCATGCCATAGAACATACCAGTGTCATCTGCATACACCAGTGAAATTATTCTCACATGTCAGTCGTAACTTCACAAACGTTGTGTTTCACTATATTAGGAGTCAGATTTCTGGTTTTATAGGAGGCACTCACTGATGGACTGGTAGGGAAGAAGAGGCTTGTAATTGAAGCTAAACACTTGGGTGACATTGTTCAGATTGGGATGCTGAACAACCAGTGTCCATTGGCTGTAGTTCCGCCGAAAGTCGAAATTGGTTATGGCAATCTTGACCCTCCAATAAGCCTCATAGTTAAGCTTCAGGTGCCAGTGCACGCGTACGGGGCACATATGTTTTGTGCATTGTAGCAATGGTGCAAGATCCTTCCTTGGTGTATTGATTCCCGGCTTCTGTAATAACGTTGAGTTGCTCCTGCATATTGAGGAACAGACGTATGAACTGCACATAGATCTTTGTATGGCTATCTGTAGATTATTTCACAAGTCTGGATCAAAAAAGAGCTTACATGATGCAAGTGTTGTTGTTGTTCTGGCAACCACAGGCACAAGCCGGGCAAGGAATGATTTTAGAACTGTAGAAAGATGACAAGGAAACACAACAGCTTGGGTTCTTTGAGGCAAGAAACTTAGAATAAGTGCATGTCACGTTCCATGTCACTGCAAACAAATTTAAACATGAGAGTGAAACTATCCACATGGATTTACTCTTTGAAAACATAGGAAAAGAGAGATCAGAAGCTTACTCAGAGCTTGAGCCTTTCGCCTACCATCAGGTGAGAGGAAGTGTGAGGAAGGCACAATCTTTGCAGGGCCACAAGTGTAACCTGGTCCGGGACCAAGCAGAGTGAAATTCTTTGGCAGTTTCACCGTCTTGTTTGAGGTCCCGCTGAGCCCAACAGTTATCTGAAATGCAGCCACTGCAGCTGAGGGGTCCTGTCCCCAGGATGCCAGCACGCCGCCCTTGCAGCAGTTGCCGAACTGCTGGTTGAAAGGCGTTTCAGGAAGCAAGTCAACCACGGTGGGGTTTCTCTTGCAGCTGTGTGGGATGTTTATTTTGAACTTGGAACAGTCTCCTTGCTCTTTGGCCTGAGCGCCCAACATTGTCCAGATTATCTCCTTCTTAGCCCATGTCCACCCCAGACTCCAGCCGGGGCTCATGAAGTGCCGGAACAGTTGGAAGTTGTTTATCGTAACCGCTGCCTTGTGAGAGCCAATGAAGAGAATTTATCAACCACTTTTCTGATTGTTGTATAAAATTGAAAAGAAAAAGAAATTTTGGGTTTTGATATGCCATCTTGCTCCTTTTTTTGGGCTAAAGGATCAATATTCTTAAATAGTAACGTACCACATAACCGTCAGTTGCCCAAGACATGACATCCCATCTGATTGAAACGTTTCCATTTGGATCCAGTGGGTCATAAGCAGCTAATAAAAAAACAAAAAAAAGTACCAAAAGCAAGATCAAACAAATATGAACATTTAAGACTAATAAAAGCAAACTTTAAAAGAAAAAAAAAATCTTCGATTTATATATTTACCTGCAGGTGATAATGGCATGCAACATAGAACTGCCAAGAAGATGAACTTCAATCCTGCAAATAAATTGCCTTGCTGCAAATAGAAGCAAGTTTTGCCTCCATTAAGAATTTTCTGCATTGAGTTTTCGAGAAACATGGATCGCCGCAGCGCAACCTTTCTGCTATGGAGCTGAGAAGATACACAAGTACAAGATATCTACTCAACTGCATCAGATTCAGGGTGTTATAAAGTCACAACATTTTGAGGAGGCTGCAACATATGAAAGTGAAATGCCTCAAGATATCTCACCTACTGGTTTGATATTTCATCTCATTTGATTTTTTCATTCCCTTTTCTCTAACAAAGATATGATCCCACTTTCCCTCTCCCAAATAACACAAACACACACATCCACACTTCACTAACTTCATTTTCTTTGTTCAGTTTATGTGTCTGCGTCTGAAGCAACATTTTTTTGCTAAAAGTAAAGCTCAAAAATCAATCCCTTTACAGTGATGGATAGTTTTTCTTAAAGTCGTGTCAGCAAAGGAAGTACTTCACGATCAAGCTTTTTCCTTTCCATTTTGGAGCCATTGCAACAAAATGCATGGCATATCTGGAGCGTAAAATGATAAGAAATTCTTTCTGTCATTCACGTAGATAGGGGGGCGCTGGCAGTTCCTGAATTATTAGTATTGTTACAGTTTGGTTACTAGCTATTTATTTCTTGAACTTTGTATTTTGGGCATGTTTGTTTATGAGCATTATTTATATTAATGAATTTTTAAAAATAATAAAGGTAATTACTTGTCATGGCGTGATGAAAAAATTAAAAATTTTAAAAAAAAAAAAAAAAAAAAAAAAAAAAAAAACCAAACCCTTATCTTTAATGTTTGTGAAAATGCTTGTTGATAATAAGGTGTCAAAAGCTAAGTTGAGGGACAACAAGCTAAAGAATAAAATCAGGACAACAGATTTGGTCTCCAGAAAACATGTAGGATCCTTGTACATATATGAATTGTGACACCCTTTATATTTTTTTCCGTATATTTTGGACACACTCTTTGCATTTTTTTTTTTTTTGCAACTTTTTATTTTAGTTGATTTGTCTATTTTTCTGACAATTGATGTCGTAATCATCTAATTTAACGCTGATAGGTTTGTTTGTTATTTCATTTTTCATCAAATTAAAAATACGAGGGATACTTTTTCGATTACCAAAAACACATGGGTAATAGTATGATTTAACTAAAACTGAGAGGGTAATTTTTGGATTTTCTCATATAAAATCAAAATCAGTTCGGTCTCCTTTAGTAACGTTTCTGTTTTCAATATTTTGAAACACAAAATAAAAGATTTTCTTTTGTTCTTTTTTTCATTTTCTTAAACAAAAAATATAAAAATATGTTTGGTAACTACGTTTTTTTTGTCTTTAAAAATAAAAAAAAACAAAAAACATGTATGGTTACAATTTTTACACGTTCAAGAAAAGTAAATAATTTTTAAAAAAATTATATTTTCACCTCAAAACTTTTAAATATTATATATTGACCCTAAACTTTTTAAAATTTTCTTTTTAGCCTCTAACCTTTTAAAAATACATTTTAGCTCCGAATTTTTTAAATTTCATTTTGGTCCTTAAAGTTGAAATCTATACAAATTGGTCTTTTAAATTTTCTCAAACTTTTATTATCCACCCAGATCCCAACCTCGATTGTGGTCCTGATATGTTAGGCCATCTAGACGGTGATCTCGACGCTACTTTAATGGCAATCCCACTTGACTGTAGGTACCATCTTAGCCCAACTATGTCGTTCCTAATCTAACCTTGGCAACGGTCCTAAATCAACCTTATCGATGATCCTAACCAGTCAGCCAGATCCGATAATGATCTTGACTCGAACATATCGTTGACTAGACCATAACTACCAACTACAATTATGACTTGACCTTGGTAATATCCTGACCCATTGGTCTGACCTCGATGGTGATCCTAGTCCAATTGAAGTAAGGTCCTAGCTCCCCAGCCTGATCCTATTGGAGGCCAAAACCCATTGGTTTGACCTGTCCTGACATTAATATTAATTTTATTCGTTGATCCAACCCCAACTCCAATCCTAACTCGTTGACGTCTTTAGTTTTAATGATGACCATTTTACTTTAAAAAAAACTGAAAACAAAAAAATTTGTGTTTCGATAATTTTAAAAAATTTGATAACAATTAAAAAAACAAAAACATGTTTACCAAACATGTTTTCAAACAAGGTTTTCATTTAAAAAAACAAAAAATAATTTAAAATAAAGGGAAATTATAGTAAATAGTAAATTTTTGAAACTAAATTAAGTAAATAGCATATTTTAAAACTATTTGAAGTAAATAACAGTTTATGTGGTAAATGAATCATTTACACGGTAAATGATTTATTTACAACTAGTAAAAAATAACTTGTGGTAAAAAATCTTAAAAAAATATTTATTTACATGAAAAAAAGTTCTTTTTACTAGTTGTAAAAAGAGAATTTACGTGAGAAAAATATTTTTACTAACTGTAAATGAGCTATTTACACGGTAAATGATTCATTTATCACGTAAACTCAGACACGAAGCCAAGTTATCTCTAGTGGGGGCTCAAGCCCCCACTCACATTTTTTGTTCTTTTAAAAATTTATCAATGTTCTTGTTTTTTTAACAAATAGCCCCCACAAGAAACCCTTCAAATATTCAAATACGTTAATTAGTCCCCACAAAAATTGAGAAAAATTCAATTTTACCTTTACTCAAATCAACATATATTTATGTTAAATTAAATATAACCCCTCTAAAATTGAAAAAAAAAATCAATTTGTCTCAACAAAATATTTAAAAAACCATTTAAGCCCTCATTGTCATTGCGTAAACTGCTATTTATTATAAATAATTTTTAAATTTGTAATTTTACTTAATTTATTTACAAAAATATACTATTTACTATATTTTCTCTTAAAATTTAATAATTCCAAATGACCCTACACTTGTAAAAAAAAAAAAAAAAACAGAAACAGCGAGAAGAGGTAGTGGTAATACCATTTAAGCCCCCACTGTCGGGCGCATTTAATGCACTCTAGATTGTTGAGTTTTTGCTAATACTAGTTGTCTATCTCATTTGTTTCGGGGGAATTTACATGGTCTTTAAACCTTTTTGGTTAAAAAAAAAATCAAAAAGTGTGTTTTAAATCTTTTTGGTTTGATGTATTGTGTATCTAGATTCTAATTATTGTGTATCTAGATTCTAATTGTGAAAATATAGCGCATATGTCCCATCACAGATCAAACCCAACATCAGAATTTCACAATCCAAACACAATTTTCATGAGGATTGATAAACCCATCAACTAAATAATCTAATGCATTATATTCTATCGTGCAGTTCCTATGATAAAAAAGTATTCATGATCTTGAAAAAAAAAATAGTTGAGATACAAAAATATTTATATGTATAAGTATATATTTGTTAGGAATTTTATTCCTAACTTTTGTTGGGATTATGGTTATTATAATGTTTATTTAGTGATGTTATTTTTGAATAAATCTGAAGGTGTGATTAGTAGATAAACACGAGCTTAGTTCTGAATTAAATAACTGGTGTTCATTTTTGCAAATTCAAGTTTGATTTCTGAAGATATTTGGCTGATAATTTTGTGGAGCTAATTTTGTTCTTAATGTATCTAGGTTCATTTGAGATTAACTCGACTTATTCAGAAAATTGTCTTCTTAGTTTCTATGTTATTTTGCATATTAGGTTTGATATTTTAATTTGATTATAATATGAACTCATATATAACATCGTTTCTCGTTCAAATATTGTTTTTAAATGATAGGATAATGTCATCTATCCACACATTTCAAAACTTTAACCTACGTTCGCACGAAACTGTGAGAATATAGCTGAAAATTCGATTGATATAGAACTGAAGATTTTCAATAGCAGAATTTCAAATTTGAAGTTAGATCATGATCAGATCCAAACTTAGGTAAATGGAATGTATTTAGACCTTGACCATACCTAGAGAAAACAAAACTAATTCAAAGGCTTCATATTTGTTCTCAACCCTATTTTGTCATATGCATTCATTGATCCGGAGTAAGTTTACGGAGGAGTGAATGCAAAATGTGCTCCGAGTACGTAATAAGTTGGAATGAAGGCAAGGTGAAGGGTAAGACGAGGACTTTAAAGGTGAGTCAAGGAGACATTGTGAGTTCTGCATTGGTGTAGGAGATCCTTAGGTTTTCTATTGGTGTAATCTATTGTAATTGTAAGTCAATGTTAGTTAAATTTTTTTATCTAGAGTGATGGGGATTCTGGTTTTTTTTTTTTTTTTTTTTGTAAGAATTTTTTACCACAATAAATATTTATATCGCTGTCTCATTTACTAAGCAGGTTTATTTTACAAGTCTGGTTATTTCTCTAATAGGGTGTTTATGAGTAGTTTTAAGAATAGAAAAAATACTATTAATTAACTTGAGTTTGAGTTTTTGAACTCGAGTTGAAGGGGAAACTTGAACTCGAGTTTAATCCTAAACTCGAGTTCAAACTCGAGTTTAAACTCGAGTTCAATCTCGAGTTTAAACTCGAGTTCAATCTCAAATTTTACAAAAAAACATAAACTTAAATAAAGTTGTAACTCGAGTTCAAACTTTTTTCTGAGTTTTGTTATAAAAGAACAACTCCATAGTGATTTAAGTGTAAATCTTGAGTTGAATT